ATGTACTTCCGGTCCCAAATTCTGGTTTTAACTGTAAGTAGTTTCATCTTGCCCTGTTTCAATCTTCATCAACCTTCTAGCGGAGGTCATCGATTAGAATGTGAAATTACTCATGATTTGTCCTACAGTACATCCTTCATTATTCTGTGTCATGAGTGGATTGGGAAGTTACAGTGGAAGGAATTGTGCAGCAGTTATTCTTTTATTCAGTGACACTTTGTGTTCAAGCCCCAACCTGCTGGGGCACCTAACTGCCTTTTTAATGTAAAAATGTAAAAATTCAGGCAGTACATGAGTCAGTGAGCTGGATTACCCTAAATCTCTGTTCTAGTCAAGCGCAAACTGATGGGTTTAAGTGTCCTTTGTAGGCTGTAGGCTTTTTGGGGAATATGAGTCTAGGGAACACACTCAGTCCAGTTTCTAAAAGGTAGGAATTGACAAACTCACTGAGGGAGGCCCCAGATGGCTGTCATTGGTACAAAAGACTTATTCTTGCATGTTAGATGAGGCAGTTTATTGGGCTAGTGCATGGGGTGCTTTACTCTGCACTCACCATGCTGTGCCTGACTGACCCAGAATGCTGGTGCTGGGTGCTTCAAACACAAACTGTTCCATTCCCCATGGAGGTCTAAAACATTTGAACTTGATGAAGCTGATAACTTGAACACAAAATACAACAGATATCAAGGCTTGAATGAATGTGCCTTCGTAACGTGTTTTTCTAAAATCTCTCTTTTAGGAATAAAAAATGCAGACAAAAATGAATTGAAGATCATTGCTTCTGATCCATTTGAAGAGCACTATTTATTTGTGGAGGACTTTCATCTGCTCAGCACCATTTTGGCCAAAGTTTCCAGAAGACTTTGTTTCACAGCGTCAGAGCCTCCGAGACCAGTAAGATCTACACCGTGTAAGTAACTGTGAATGGTGTGGTGGAAATGCTTCTCAAAGCAGAACAGAACAACAATGTGGGTCAACACATTGTATTTACACCTTCAGGAATTGTCCAGCCCTAGGCGGAGGAGATAGATCTCAATCCCCGGCCTTGGCTAGATCTGGATGAAATGAATTTGGATAGTTTCAATCCAGTTCTGAGTGAGTGGAGGTTCATGTCACAAAGCTCTTCCTTCAGGGTTGAGATTAGACCTAGAGATTTGGACTGGTATTTCATTGGTTCTGGAAAAACATATTTAGCATCCACATAATTCAACAAACTGCTTGTATTTAGAAAGCATTGTTAATGTAGCATAGATTTTCCCCAAGGATCTTTCCAGGATCATTAGGACAGGTGATTATATTAAATAAAACTGAAAGAACTGTGTTTTGTTTTGGATCTGAGAGCAGGGAGTGCAAGAAGTTCACGGAACGATAGGTTGGAATGGGTAAGGGGGGTGGGGGGCGGAGAAGTTGAGGCAACCAATGTCACGTCAACAGTTCTCAAGGAACAGATCAAGTGCAGGTAAAAGGCCAGAGGGAGTGGTCCAGATGGACGGAGAGTGTTGAGGTGAGCAGAGGGGTCTGTGGGATGAGAAAAGGACTCTTGTCCAAAGAAATGGGCGTGGTGATGAAGGCGCCGGAAGAAGAGTTCAATATCATGTTGTATCCAAAATTTATTAAGGTGGGGATGCAGAGGGATAAAACTAAGACCTTTGCTGAGTATAGAATGTTCAGCATTGGAGAGCAGAAGGTCAGGAGAGATAGTTAATACATGGCAGGAGGTGGGGTTGGGAGATGGATGGAGTCAGAGGGAAGGGGAAGGGAGGAAGGTTCTGGAGGTCCATAGATATTTCTAGGTTGTTGCAGCTTGTGTTCCTTGATGCTGGAAAGGAAAAGAAAACATTTCTTATTAGCATGTCGAATGAGCTGGAGGATCAAGTGGAACTGGGGAGCAATGCTGCCCTGAGCCAGCATGAAATGGTGCTTTTGGAGTGAGAGTTTGAAAGTATGCATATGATGACACATGGAACTGAGTGTGGATCTCAGGGTGCGGCAAGAACAGCTGTCTGTTAAACATGATGGAGATACCTATTATCCTGGCTAGATTCAAAACATGAAGGATGAAACTTGAGTTGGAATCCATGTGGGGTGAGTCTGAGCCAGAGGCAGTGTCTGAGGAATTTGATGTGGCTGTGGAAACAGGTTTTAGCAAATACCTTGTCAAACACCAGGAGCGATAGTGAAATTAATGTCAGTGAACAAGAAAAAAGATTGGAATGGAAATCCAGTCGGAGACAGGAGCAGGACTTCTTCAAGGTGGGCATGCGTGGAAAAGATGTGGTAGTGAGTTAAATACCAAATAAAAACCGAAAGAACTGTGGATCCTGAAAAACAGAAATTGTTGGATATGCTCAGCAGATCTGGCAGTATCTTTGGAGATAAATCAGAGTTAATGTTTCAGGTCCAGTGACCATTCCTCAGAACTGATTATATTGAAGGACTGGCTTAAAGGAAGAGTGAGAAATAGAGGAACAGAGACGAATAGACACAGAGATATATGATCTAGACAGCTGAAGGCATGTCTGCTAATGGTGGTGCAATGGAAATGTGCAAGAGGCTGAAATTAGAAGAGCACAGATACTGTTGAGGATTGGAGAACCAGAGAAGATTACAGAGATATGGAAATGTAGATAATGGAAGGATTTGAACTAGGGCCAGAATTTCATGATCCCCATCCACCTACCATTGCACTTCATGCCACCTATGATCCTCTCTCCAACCTCATGATCCTTTATAGCCTGGACTACAACTTAATGGCAACTTACACCAACCCACGTCCATCACCTGCTACCTTTGGTCTTCACATATACCATTCAAAATCATCTAGTAACCACTATAGACAGACTTGGGAACCCATGTTAAGATTAAACAAAGCTTCTAAGTGTCAATTGATCAATTCACTATTTTAAAAAAGTATTCTAATTGGTAAAACAAAACATGATATCTTACTTCCTTTGATCACTTATAAGAACAAACTTTGAAATTCACAGTCCCATTTCAAAAAGTTTATTAATTGTAAACTGACAAGCAGTCCATTGTGATAATGAAAGGTTTTGGAATCAGTCATATAGCACTATTCCTGTAATGATTGCATTTAGGCTTATGTCAGCAGACTGAGCAAAATAACAGCATTGATTTTAACATTGCAAACAGTTTTTTTTCCAAGTATTTAAAGGGCAAGAGTTTTAGAGAATGTGACAGCTTGATAGCTCCTTTTGACAGCTTTCCTTGATAGCTCCAATGAGCCGAATAATTCCAATTAGTTTAACCACTTCTTATGTACATTTATGGCTACTTTTAATAATCCTGCTCTTACTGCACCCAAAAGACACATAACCTTGCCAAATGGATACCGTACCTCTCCATCTCTGGTAAGTTTGGATCTTCTTGTACCAGATCTAAAGAGCACAAGCCTGTTTTGGACATCTCACCAGCAATAATTAGATCTGATTGAGGCATCTACACATTATGAGGGGCAGTTGCCTCTATGAACCATGATTGTGCAAATTAGATCTTGCTCCAGTTCCGCTCTGCAAAAAATAGTACGGTTTGGGAGTAAGAATTCTGGATTCTGGCCTCAAGTGCCATTGTTACCACAACAGAGAGTCCTTTCTACCTATTCAAAAATGCAGTCCATGGATTAAAAAAATTAAATCATGATGTTCCTGGACTGGGGACCATTTATGCTCCAGGAAGCCAATTGGTGAAGGATGAAACTGAAGCTAATCTTTACTCAGTCTTCCAGTTATCTACTGAGTGATACATTGCAAGCACATACCTTCCTAACTCAACAGCACTGCAGTTTCAGTAACTGTCTCTTTATATGTTTGAAACTTCAATTCATGGCCATCACCTGTACTCAATAAAGGACTATCCATATATAAATTATCTTAGCAAAAACAGGTGATGGGCCTTAGAGCTGGTTGGTGTAAGCAGCTGAGTTTTGCATGAGTTCAAGTTTATGTAGAGTAGGACATGGGAGTCCTGCCAGAAGTGAATAGTCATGTTTTGAGGGAACAAAGGAACTGATTAGTGTTTCAGCCAGAGATGAGCTAAGTAGGACATTGACAGGCAACATAACAGAGGTGGAAAAGGTGGTCTCGGTGATGAAGAGATTTTGGCAGGCAGAAAGGTGCACAAGGCTCCTATGAGATGTTCTACCATACGTGAGGGATGTAGGCTGGGTCAGGAATTAAATGTCTTTTCTGAAGCCTTTAACTCTCCATCCTGTATTTTATGTCCTGTAATGGGTTGCCTTCCTTGGCACAGAATCTCCCAGTTGTCAGCAGCTGAAGAACAATTATATTTTGCAAAATGTTGGATCGTCTCTGTAATTATCCTTATAAACTGCAATCCGCTTGCTAATCAGACATTCATCCAGACCTTCTTAAAGGTGTTAATCAGAGTGCAAGGAACTGAAAGGAAATTTGAAATAAATATCACCTCTCGAGGGGACTCATAAGTAAATAGAATAGAGACAGAACAGCATTATGGTAATAAATGCTCTCACTGCCTTGCAATAGATAAATCTAATCCTCGCTGTCCCTTATTCTCACCAGTGGCAGAAAAAATCATTGGCCCCCGGGACTTGGTGATTAGTGAATTGAGTTATAGCTCAATGAGATTGTCCTGGACTCCAGCTACAGGAGGCGTGATGAGCTACAGAGTTGTCATCAACCCATATTCGTCTTCTGGAAGACTGATACCAGGAGAAGAGAGGCAGGTAAGTGATGCTGGGCCATCCAGCCTTTATATTTCACAGTTACTGTGTACGAAGGGAGGGATCCTGCAGAAAGGAGCCTTAAAGCGGCTGGATCTAAGAGGTGATTCTACGTGGGAAATAGTAAAGGCAGCAAGTGTTCAGTCAGGTGTCTTTTCTTTCTTAAATTGTAACCCATAAGATCATAAGGCAAAGGAGCAGAAATAGACCATTCAGCCCAGTGAGGCTGTTCCACTATTCAGTGAAATCATGTCTGGCCTGATAATCCTCAACTCTACTTTCCTACCTTTTGCCCGCAACTCTTATCTATAATTGGCTGATCATAGGACAAGAAGCTTTTGATAAGGGGTGTAAAAACAATCAATTCCTCATTCCTAGTCACTCAACAGGCCATCTTAATTTAATGCCATATCATCTTACCCAGTGCCATCCCACAGACAGAATTTAATGCCATCCCGAGCAAGTCCTTGATCTAAACAGGAGGGGAAGAGAGGAGTTGCTCCCCACTGAGAGCCAACCCCACCTCTTCTGTGAAACCACTCTCTCGCATGGCCCTGAGTCTGCTATCTCCCTCCTATCATCACTAGCCTGTGAATTGTGTCCCTTAGTGATTCTGGGCCACAGATGGGTGTTTTACTGGCAGCAGCCATGATCTCCTTGTGGCATAGCCTAGCAATGATGAGCTGCACGCCTCTGATTGACCAACAGCTTTCAGTGGATGGTGTTCCCACCCTCAGAATCCTTTGAACGGTTTACTGCTGCCCAGTCAAGTGTGGGATTAACACTTAATGATGGACCTTCCTGAAAAAGTTGATGTGCTGCTCTCACAGGCTCTCCAATTGGTGATCAAGCCTTCCTTTCCCATCATTAAGTTCTCCCCTCACACCATACCACTCTAATTTCACAAACAGCAGAGCATTTTGGGTAAAATTAATCAGAGTGTGACAGAAAGGCAGAGCATTTAAAGTAATGGTACATCAGTACGTAAGGTCAAATTATGAAGAAAATGGTACATTGTTAAAATTAAAAGCTCTTTATCTGAATGCATGAAGTATTTGCAAAAAGGTCAGGTGAATTGCTGGAGATAAATGAGTTTGTTCCAAGCATTATGGACATGTGATTGCACGATGACCAAGATGGGGAAATAACTCTCGAGTGCTTGATGTGTCAAAAACACAAACAAAATGGTAAAGGATGAGATGGGGTCAGCCCTGACAATAAATGACTTAAAGACCATAATGAGAAATAATAATGGCGAGGAAGACAAGGCAGTTTCAAGATAAACTGTTTTGAAATGGGAAAAGGAGAAATGTCTTCACTCAGAGAGTTGTAATTCTTTGGAATTCTGTATTCAGAGAACTGTGAACGTTCAGTCACTGTGTGTATTCCAGTTTGAAATGGGTAGAGTTTTGAGTATAAGGAATATGGAGTTGAAGCAGGAGAGTGAGATATAGGATCAACCATGATGTTATGAAATGGGGGTTTAAGGATTAAGGGGCCCTGTGACCTACTCCTTCTCCTATTTTTATGTACTTACATTATGTATTCTCAAACTGAACTATCCTAATCTCATATCAGGTCATTACTGAAGTTTTCCATCCTCAGTGGTATCACAGTCTGTTGAAATTACAACTCTCTAAAACATCTATTTGTTCTTTCTTTGAGATTCCTATAATATTCATCAAATCTGCTGAATTTAAAAGTTTGGCGTCAACTCCAGCTGTTCTTCCTGATGTACTGTAATTCCTATCTTAGTCCTTTTGACCTTACAGCTGTGAACATTTAGCCTGCTATCTAAATTCCGAAACCTTTTATTTTGTTAAAACCAATGTTCTACATATGAAATATCTATGGAGCTTACTTCTTGTTTTTTCATGACAGATTGTTATCGATGGCAATGAGCATACAATACTTGTGACAAACCTAAAACCCAGCATGGAGTACTCTTTCACCGTGGTTGCTGTGTATGCTGACATGATTGGAGATCTCGCAACTGTCAATGGAAAAACAAGTAAGAAAATATACCTAAAATAATGAAAGGAGTAGATAGTTTAACAGGAGACCATCTTGTCAGTTGTGTCTTAGTTATTAGCACTGTTGCCTCTGAACCACGAGGTTCTGGGTTAAAGTCCCATTCCAGAGTTTGAGCACAAAGATCAAGGCTGACCACTCCCAGTGCAAGACAGAGGGACTACTGAGGTAGCAGGAACTGCAGATGCTGGAGAATCTGAGATAACAAGGTGTAGAGCTGGATGAACACAGCAGGCCAAGCAGACCCTGAAGAAGGGTCTAGGCCCGAAACGTCAGCCTTCCTGCTCCTCTGATGCTGCTTGGCCTGCTGTGTTCATCCAGCTCTACACCTTGTTATCTGGGAGCACTGAGGTGCTGACTTTCAGATCTGGTGTTAAACTAAGTCTGCAACTGGCTGCCTGGGTGAATGTCAATGATCCCAGAACATTCATCCCAGGCTGTAAAGTGAATTGCAACATCTGGTGGTCAAGAAGGCTGCTATATAAACGCAAATCTCTTTTATATTACTTTTAAAATTAGAACCAGGCGATTCAAGAGTGAGATCAAGAAATAACATTGAGTAACAACTGACAGTTGTTAAGGTATGCAAAAAAAATCTAGACAATCACATAAGATATGTAGTGTAACTGGAAACAATTAACTAAAATCATGTAAGGTAACTGTTGACAATTATACTTATTGTCTCTAGATAATTACATGTGATGCTCAATTCTTTTTCTCCTGGTATATTGTAGGTGCCCTGCCTCGTGTGATTAACTTCCGAGTGATTGAGAAAGGATTATTTAGTCTGAAGGTGGCCTGGACTCTTCCTTTAGGACCATTAGTGGGTTACAAGATCTATATACCAAGAAGTAAGATTCAAAAGAGAACTGTATCTCCAATCTGAGGTCAAGAGCTGCATTCTGTAATTGAACAATAAGTAATGGATGGTCAAATTCGTCTTTTAGTTGTAGTTTGAAAAATAAATCCAGACAGTGACGCTCTGCTTAGCAATGGATAATTATCAGAATCCCTTATTAAAAGTCAAACAGTGACAACAAAGACTATTTCCTTCCGTTCAGCCAATCTAACTTACTATTGCTGGTCAAAGCGGTAATATCAAGCAATGTAATCACCATGGACTGTTGAGAAGAATTCAAAAAGTGATTAGAACTGGAAATTCCAACAGAAAAGGCTACTGATTCTTTGTCAACTTTATTGAAAAAATAGGCTGGCTCCTTTCAGTGACATTGTGGTTTTCGGGCATGATCAGTCCAGCAGTCTGTCACAAATAGCCAGCTGTGAAAATGTCAGTCCAGTGCTGCTCCATTGGCTCTTTGGCAAAACTATGCTTCAGTTGATGTTTTAACAGTGTTCCTCTAAAGTGGAAAATCACAAAGGTGTCAGGCTAATTAGTGAGTATCAGTAGACAACTTGATGGTGTGGGTCATCATAGCTGAGCCACATCCTGGTGCTGGCAATACATACACATGTTGCTTGACTGTTCACTTCCTCAGTCCACTATCAGTGAAGCTAATTACAATATCTCCCCCCCTCCACACACACACACACACACACACACACACACACACACACCTCTCCCTTGGGCAAATACAGCATGGTTAGAGATTAAGCTCAAGGGTTTACCTTTAGATTAATGAGTGAGTACCTTTGCATATCACATGAATCTCTGATCAACATCCTGGGGGTTGCCATTGATCACAAACTGAATTATACCAGTCATGGAAATACCGGTGATTATGAGAGCTTGTCAGAGGCTAGGAAATCTTTGACGATTACCTCCCTTCCTGTCTCCCCAAAATCTGAACACTGTCTACACGCACTAATCAGGAGTGTGATGGAATACTTTCCACTTTCCTGGATGAGTGCAGCTCCAAGAATACTTAAGATGCTTGACAGCATCCATGAAAATCCAACTGCTTATTTAGCACCCCATCCACCACTTTCACTATTCACTCCCTTCATCATTGATGTACGGTGGCAGCAGTGTGTACCTTCTTTAAGGTCTACTGTTGTAACTCACCTAGGCCCCCCCTCACAGCATCTTTCAAACCCACAAGATCTACCTTCTAGAAGGACAAGGGCAGGGGATGCATGGGAACACCGCCACTTGCAAGTTCCACTCCAAGCCACAGGCCATTGGTTGGGTTGCTGTTCCTTTACTGTCAGTGTGTCAAAATCCAGGAACTCCCCTTTTGAACAGTATTGTAGGTATTCCTGCACTTTAACAACTGTAACCGTTCAAGAAGGCAGCTCACCACCTAATTCCCTTGGAATTAGGGATTATCAATAAATGCAGGCCCAGCCAGCAATGCCCACATTCCATGATTGAATAAAAAAGGCAAACCTCTACCTTTTTAAAAGAGTTAACTTACAATAATGTTTTAGAAGTATCAGCTCCATCTTGAATAGCTGCTGCTGTTTGTTACAGCCGGCACAGATTTAAAGATATTATTAATCAACATGTTCAGGCATTTATGACACACTTCAGGCAGGACTTGAACCTGGATCTTATTGCCTGGAGCTAAGGACACTAATCACTGCACCACAAGAGCCCATACAAGGCAAAGTCACCACAGTCTTACCAGATCATAGGGCTGCTCTCTCATTAGAGTGAGCTGACTGGTGGTGGTTTAACCTGTGGGTCACCACACCTCACATGCGGGGAGAGGTTGAGAAGGAGAGTCCTTCACTGTAACCTCAGCTGGTGTGGGAATTTAACCCATGTAATCCATCAGGAGGTCAGTTAGTCAACCAACTTAAGTATAGACTATACCAATGTCTGTGATAGAGTTGCAATGCACTTAGTTGTTCTATGGATAAATCTAATAATTGTTCTCAGTTAAAGACTCAGTCTCAGTATTCATGTTACTGGAGTTAACATAATGCCTCCAGAGAATGCATCTTGTACCATATTAGTTTTACAAACTGTGTGTTGAGAGAGCCAAGAGTGAAATAAATTTTCGCGATATTTTCAACAAAGTACAAAACTTCTCAGTAGCAAATGTAATGTGGTCAAGGTGTCAATGAGCTCCTGACAACAAAATGGATTTCAAGTCCCTTCATCAGAGTGACAGTAATCCTTGAAGTGAGGTGAGATGCAAAGTGTAACTGGGGCTCATAACAGCAGCTTCACGGTATTAAAACCATTTTTCGTTCAGTCAACAGACCTGGGCTGGCCTATGAACAGAATATCAAGGGAGATGTCTCCTTTCACCTGATAGACAACCTGGAGGAAGACGAGGTCTACACCATCAGCATCTACGCTGTGTATCCTGAGGGCCCCAGTGATCCTGTGTCCACCACTGGCAGAACATGTAAGGACAATTATAAATATTTAGTGCATAAAGAGCATTGACATTTCAGTGACCTGCCTCCTATGTTAAATGCACCACTATTGTAACTGAACTTATACCTATCTAAAATTAGCCAGCTTCTACACACAATTTGTTAAACAATGTGAACATATCTTTGAAATGACACATTGGAGCTTCATGACTTGCAAACGGCTGGTATTTAGTTTAGGGAGATTTAAATATGAATTCATTTTTTCAGTTAAACAAGGCTGGTTCCCAATCATTTCTATGATTCTAATCTGCAGTACAAAGAATTTACCAGTCAGATAGATTTGGGGTTAATGATGGTGCTGAATTCTTCTACATTAATAAGATATTTGAACTTGGATTATCTTCTTTCTATATCACACTCTAAAATAGTTCTTCAGTTATTGAAACAAAAGCTTCCTGTTTAATACTTTGTGGTCCCTAAATGAGTTGATCAACTTCTCACCGTTTCTATTGACACTACCATTTCCACTAATCAAAGGTGGTGAGCTCCAAATACATTCCACGCACATTGAATTCAATATTGGGTCATTTCTATTCCTATAAAATACAACCATTTCCCAGTCAAATATTTATCCAGATATCTTTCTGATGGAATTTATCAGTGCAGCATAAATTCTATTGTTGGCAATTTGTTGCACTGATCTGGAGGATTTTGTGTAATCTTCCTTGATGATAAAGACAAATGAGGAGCTGACACTGAGCTCATCTCATTCAACCTTCTGCAGAAATTTTAGACTGACTTAGAGATTGATCCTGCACAACCCACTCCTCACCAGCCCAAAAGCAGAGCTGCAAAACCTCAAAATTATAATATGAAATATGATTTCATACAAATACCTCTGTTCATTTATTACTTGTGCCATCGTTTCAGCCCAAAGTCTCTATTTTTAGATCTGCCCTGCCAGAACTCTCCATCTACCCATGGTTGAAGGACAAGTTACCTGGATAAAAAGAAAAAAATGTGCACTGATTGACTTGAAGTGTTTTACTGCTAATGAAATACTATTGAAGTCACTTCGGGGTGGCACGGTGGCTCAGTGGTTACCACTGCTGCCTCACAGCACCAGGGACTCGGGTTCGATTCCAGCCTCGGGCGACTGTCTGTGTGGAGTTTGCACATTCTCCCCGTGTCTTCGTGAGTTTCCTCTAGGTGCTCCAGTTTCCTCCCACAGTTCAAAGATGTGCAGGGTGGGTGGATTGGCTGTGCTAAATTGCCCATAGTGTCTATGGATGTTTGGATTAGACATGGGGAAATGCAGGGATAGGGGAATGGGTCAGGGTGGGATGCTCTTCAGAGAGGCAGTGTGGACTTGTTGGGCCAAATGGCCTGTTTCCACACTGTAGGGATTCTATGGTCATAACATAGCAAAACTGGCAACCAAGTTACTCATTACAAAAAGCACCATCATAATTAATGACCAGGTAATCTGTTTTAATAATGTTGATCAGGCACGAGGGAGAATCCCATGCATTTTGAACGGTGCTATGGAAAATTTATGCCCAAATGAAAGGGTAATGTCTCATTCAAAATACAGCACCACCGACGTATAGTATTCCTTCAGCATTGCTTTGAAGTGTGAACATAAATTGTGTGCTCAAGCCTCTGGATTGGTGTTTGCATCTACAACCTTCAGACTCAAAAAAATGAGTTATTGCTAACGTCATTTGAAAGTGCTGTAGTGCTAAAAGGACTTTGTTGCATAATCATGAATGCACTCTCCATTTTTCATTTTCAGCAACAGTCGAGTAAAACATTAATTATCAGTAACTGGGAGTAGATGGCACATAGACATCATTCTAAGGAAAGATAGCTTACATAGAATCCGTACAGTGTAGAAGTAGACCATTCTGCCCATCAAATCCATACTGCCTCTCTGTATAGCATCCCAACCCTCCAACCCTATCCCTGTAACCCTACATTTCCCACTGCTGATCCACTTAACCCTGGACACTATGGGGCAATTTAGCATGGCCAATCCACCTAAGCTGCACATCTTTGGACTATGGGAGGAAACCAGAGCGCCTGGAAGAAACTCATGTGGACACAGGGAGAATGTGCAAACTCCACACAGACAGTTGCCCGAGGCTGGAATTAAACTCCATTTCTCTAGCGCTGTGAGACAGCAGTGCTGACCACTGAGTCACCGTGCTGCCCCACTACAGAGAATAGTTTGTGTGTTTGTATTAGGGTAGGAGTTTATATTTTAAAAATACCTTTATTTTCAAATAGTGAAACTCACGGCAGTGAAGAAACTACTTTTGGAAAATATTACGACAGATACCATACAGGCAAGGTGGCTACCGGTTAAAGGCGCATCTGGCTACAGACTTACATGGGGATCATCTGGTACTGTTCCTTTAAATGTATATCCCAGGTTGTAAAGTATATTGCATTATTTTATATGTTTGAGACTGTAACTCCCATACGAAAATGAACGAAAGTCCCCTAAGATCCCAGGTCCAGTGTTTTGTGAATGGTCAATTAGCTGACATCAACAGGATAACAATTCTTGAGTTAAACAAAAACCAAGAGGACTGCAGATGCTGGAAATCAGAAACAAAATCAGAAATTGCTGAAAACTGCAGCAAGTCTGGCAGCATCTGTGGAGAGAAAGCAGAGTTAACGTTTTGGGTTCAATGAGCCTTTTTCAGAACGTAAAGATGCCTTCTTTGCTGACCATTCTTCAGTGACCCGACTCCAGACCCTTCTGAAGTCCCACAGATGCTGCCAGACTTGCTGACTTTTTCCAGCAATTTTTGAGTTCAACTGCCTCATTGTACCTATATAAAAAATTGAATAAATATTCTTTGACATTTGATTTGTAAACACCATGTTTCATTCTGTGATGGAGATTGCCATGCAGGATTTCCTTATCTCCTTGCCTTCAAGCCAATCCAGGATCTACATTAGCATTCCAAACCTTTTCAGTAACATAGCACTCTTCAAAGAGACAAACAACTCCATGGTACACCCATTATGAATCGATCATCCATAAATGTCACATTTACTTGCATTTACTATGGTACTGATTTTATCAGAGAGACTTGCAACATAGTGCATACAATGAGCTAAAGAAGGATAAAATACATTAATGTTTCATAACCACCTGAACAAAATACACACTTCTTGACTGCAAGTATTGACACATTTTCAAAATCTGCTCACCTCAATTATTTCTAATTATTCATGACCCTTCATCTGTTCCACTGCATTCAGTTCAGGGTCTGAATTTCACAGATGATATTTCATATTTGTGACAATATTTTTGAAAGTATAATTTTTATTTCATAATTGAACGGATACATAATTGAAATTCAATGGATCAGAGCACAATATAAACTTTGTACATCATCGTTCAAAATTTCACAGCACACTTGGGACAGTTTTCACAGCACACCTGTGTTTTTCATGACACCCACGATGAAACCCACTGCTCTACAGTGCTGGGAAAGAACTCTATTCCTCCTACTAATGGGTTAGTTCAATTTGTTACAACTAAGGAAGCAATTTGAGATAGACCAGTGAGCTGTTTCAAGAAAGGTTCTGTTCATTAACTTAATTAGTGGATGATGAGTGTGGTGTGTTCTGAAGTGGTTCTGAGAGCTGCAGTCTCAGATTTATAGAACCTTAAGCCATTGTCAGCAAATAATCTCTTGGCTGGAAGTTGCACCTTGTGGGAAAGTGAGAGTAACAAATATAGGCAACTTTGATTTTTGTGCAATAATATAAAACTGGTGATTTATTTTATTCATTCATGGATGCAGACATTGCTGGCTAGGCATGCATTTGTTGTCCATCCTTAATTGCCCAGAGGGTGGTTAAGGGTCATCCACATTGCTGTGGCTCTGTCACATACAGGCCGGAACAGGCAAGTATGGCAGTTTCCTACCCTAAAGGACATGAATGAACCAGAGGGTTTTTCAGACAATCAACAACAGTTTCATGGTCATCATTAGACCCTTAATTCCAGATTGTTATTGAATTCAAATTCCAGCATCTGCCATGGCAGAATGCAAACCCTGAACTCCAGAAGATTACCTGAATCTCAGAATTAATAGTCTAATCATAATACCACTCGGCCATTGCTAATTGCAAATTGGTAGCTCATTTGATGCCTCTCGCTATTTGTATTTAATTGAAGTGATTCCATTCCTAGTAATCTATCTGTGTCACTTGATATTACCATATTGTGCCATAACACAGGATTTATATATTTCTTGACTTATTCAGATTCTTAAGCAGACTCCGTTAAAGTTAGGGAATTAAAGCCCTCCATTATTCTAGTATTAGTTTGCACTGACTACTCTTGTATATTCAAAGATTAGCCTATCTGAGGAATATGGCTCCAATCCAACATGGTCAAGTATTCAATTTCACATGCCTTCACGAACATAACAAGGGGTAGAGGATGCTTAAGAGATCCTGTATCTCTGTTAGGTAAACTGGTTGAGTCATCACACTCCAGCATCTAGATAAGGAATTATATGGTTACCGAGTAACAAACATACAATGGAGGCAGATGGCATTGAAGACTGCCAAGACAGTCAGAATTTTGTAGACACATGTGGCCCTAAGGTGACCTATGCATAGAAAAAGAGAGCTAATACATTCCAAGTGAACAGTTACAGCCATAAAAGAGAAATGGAGGTCAAGAACTTCAAAACTGAAGAAGAGTCACTGGGCTCAAAATGTTAGCTCTGTTTTCTCTCCATTGATGCTGCCAGACCTGCTGAGTTTCTCCAGCAATTTCTGGTTTGTTTCAGATTTCCAGTATTTACAGTTCTGTTCTATTTTTAAAAACTGATCGTCTTTGGTGTCATCTTGGTGAGATAATTAACCATTAGGATATAAGGCCAGAGATGTATACATCCAGAACAAAACAGTCAATAAGTACAGAAAATACGCTCAAATGTTAGAATTCTCAAAACTATTACAAGCCCTCGATGTTGAAAGTGGGCCAAGTGGACAATCTGATTACCTTGAGTCCATAGGGAAACAAAGATCCATTAAATTGTATAATTTTAATGTATTTCTATAAAACATTAAAAAAAGTATCAAACCATTAGGGTCCAAGCATGGAGATTATTTTTGAACGGAACCCACCTGACTGATGCTTTTAATTAATTTAGTCTGTAGGAACATTCTACAATTACTTTAGAAAGCGTGGTTTCTCAAATCTTTCTCTCAACAATGGAAGATTAATAGCTTAGCAGTGAAGGAACAAAATAAAGTAATGGTTTGGTAACAAAGTTCATGGATTGTTTCAGAGATGTACTTTGTTGATACAATAATGTTTAGTAGGGGAGTGAAAGAAACAAGTTCCAGTGGTTCTTCAAGTCTACTGACTATCGAAGAGGAGAATTTTGATAACCATGGTATTTTTTTATCAACAGAGGGAGACCTGCAGAATGTCAATTTAGGTGAAGCCTACCAGTTCTATATGATCCGAGGTCTGCAGGCTGGTACTGAATACACTGTTACTATCAACCCAATATTTGGCAATATAGAAGGTCCAGTGGTCTCTGGGAAGATCATGACTTGTAAGTGTTTTGTTTTGACATCTGTCTGCCCACAAACCAATATTAACTGTGTGCAGTAATTGTGATTACTCGTGATTACTCATGTACTTCCTGGCTTATAGCTGGCAGGCAGTTCCTGCAATGCCATGACTTAAAACTTCTTTTCTTTGTTTTCAAATCCTTTCATGACCTCAGTTCAGCCCTCCTGGTCTCCATAACCTCCCCCAGTTCTATAATTCTCCGAGATATCTGTATTTGTCCAATTCTAGCCTCTTCCACATTCCTAAATTTAATTGCTCCCCCATTCAGGTGTCAATTCCTGAAGCTCCGGATGTTCCCCTAAAACAAAAAAAACCTCTCTCCTTCTCTCTTTAAGAGTGTGCTTAAATCAACCTCCTTTCACCTACCCTAATATTTCCTATGTGGATCACTATCAGGTTTTGGTTGATATTCCTGTGAAGCACATTGGTACATTTTTCTGTGTTAAAGCCCAGAATATAATTACAAGTCATTGGTATTGTTAGACTGGGCAAAGAATCCGAAGCAGAACGTGTCCAAAGTGTGCGTCACTAGCTTGTGCTAGAATTCTTGCAAGATTTTCATGTCAGTGTTTCTTGGAAAAAGATTTATTTCTTGGACTCAGTTGCCAAATGTGCTCCAGTTGACAAGAGACACACCTATCTGGTGAACTGGTATATAGCAATACTGGCACCTTCCCCATAGTTTCCTCATTTCTCTAAGATTGGGGATTCTGTAATATGAAGTGTCCTAGCCAAAAATAAAAAGAAACACCTGCTATAGCTTTTTGGAGTTGTAAATACATTTTTAAGGATGGGTCTTCATCTTGGACGTGAGAGAGTAGAACACGAGCTCAGTCTCTGTTTGCTGCTGAAATACCCAGACGAGATAGATTTCAGATTCTAGATCTACTCCATGCTGTGTTGATCTGTACTGGAGTCCTCACAGGGAAAATGTATGTTCTGCTTCCCACTACCCACTGGGTAAGGCTGGAGAAAAGTGACCTGATCACTGTCCTGCAATACCTGTTGAGAGTTTGTGTGTGCACCAGGTAAAGAATTTGGGATTGATTGTGTTGCTCCCCAAAGTCAAGGTTATGTGATACCTGCTAAGTTTAAACATTTCTAACATTGGCATGGTGCTGGAAGGTACTGATGCCAATGGAATTACACTATGGCTAGGAGTCATGTTTTGAGAGGGAAAGTTTCTGTTATCTTTCTATATGTGACCTCCATTGTTGTCACCCAATTCTTCTGTGTGTTTGACTTCTACACTTCACAATATCTCCTCCAGCCCTTCAATACTCTCTCTGCTCAAATGCTGTAGGTCCTCCAACTTGATCATTTGTGCATCAGTCTGCCTCCTCACCCTGCTCTCCCCTTACCCTACCATTGGTAGCCATACCTCCAGCCATTTAAGAATTGCAATCTTAAATTCAAAGCAGCTTTGAGACCATTCTTAAAATCCACATCATTAACCAAATTATTGGTCACCCACATAATCTAGAATTCTTTTCTATGGCTTGGTGTTCATTTATTTGAGAATTATGCCTCTAGTAAGCACCTAGGGATGTTTTACTGTCCTTGTAAGTCTAAGCTGTTGCAGTTGGTTTCCCAGAAGAGATAGTTACTAATGAACAATAAAGAGCTACACTCATTTACATTATTTTTCAGAAACACCTTGATGGATATTGGCTTATGTATTTTTTTTTCAGTGGCAACAAGTTCTGTCCACATTCTGCGAGCATCGTCCATCACTACGAGCAGTGCTGTCATCATGTGGAATGCTGTCCAAGGTGCTACAGGATATAGATTAGCATGGGGGCCCACACCAGGTACTTGATACACTATTGCAAATTGAGACAAAGGAGAGAGTTACACGTGTTGCAACTGTTGTTGACTTGCTAAGTAAGAATCACATTGTGTGGACGTGAGTCACGTATGGATATTTTTGATTAACCAGCTAAGAGATGTTATTACTTAACTCTGAAACAAATGGGACTCAAACCAGGAGTTACTAGCTCAGAAGTAGGAAGACTACCACTGTGCCACAAGAGTCCTATGAGTCATAGGTAGGCTAAACAAGATGGGGGATTGAAGATTTCATGATAATGGAGGACTTAATGAACTGGTTGGGCTTTTGTCACAGCTTGGCAAGTTTTAAAATAATCTTTTTCTATTGCTGGTCCACAATTTATGAACTAAATTTCACTAGGTGCCATAGTGGGATTTGCTAATTCAGTGCTTTAATCACTACAGTCTCGTGTCCACTTAACCAGTAATATACAAGAGGGCAGAGCAGTGATGCACAGGTTCCATTTTCCCTGAACTAACCTCTCCTTCTCAGTGACATCGCATTGGGAGGATATTTTGTCGGAGACCCCGAAGGACAAAGTTGCACCAACCAGTTCACCAATTCTCCCTAATATTGTAAAAAACAAATTAACTTGTTCATAGTGTATAAAATTATCTTGTTGTACCATGTCCATATTTAAGACCTAGAATTTTTACAGAGATCATTGAGTGATAAAGGAACCTCCACCCTCCACAGCCCCCCAACACCAATGAGGGAAACAACAAAAACAGTTAAAAACAGTCATCAAGAGATCTCCCATTGCCCCCTCCACCTTGTTTAGTAGACATGTGACTTATGACCACACTTTGTAGTTAATGCTTAGTGACCTGCCCGGTAGTTTTAAAAAGTCCACATTATTGTGGGAACAGCTTGTGAGCACAAGGACTACAAAGGTACAAGGAGATGGCCATTACCATTACCTTGTCCAAGCTACTATGGATGGCCAATACATTAAACCTTTCCAAGATTGACTTCATTCTGAGAACAAGTAAAGTAAAAATTCATCTGAGCCCAAAGCATTTCCATTGTATTTCTTTTACAGTTTCTTTTTGGGAATTTCTTTAATGTCACTTTTCCTTGTTTCCAGAGTTCATGGGGAGTGACCGACCCCGTCAAGTAGCTCTGAACAGTAGCACAACATCACATCAACTCAAAAATCTGGTTTCCAATACAGAATATGTCTTATCCTTTTATGTGGTCTTTGGTTCTGTTGTGGGCCCTGGGATGACAGCAACTGTGAAAACAAGTGAGTGGCTTTGTGCAATATTTTCTGACTGCATTAAGATTAACACTGTTATGACCAGACCCCAGGGGTTGGTCCCAGAGTTGTTATCAGTCTAGAAGGGATACCACCACATGGTTATTCTCCAGAATGAGGAGGGAAGAGCTGCCTCCCTTCTTATTCAACTTCTTCCACAAATAGTCACAACAAGGTTAATCCCTTCCCTTGAGGAAACCTTTTCCCAGTTCAGTTTTATTTCTGTTTATTTGGTTGTTAGTTCGTTGAATCTCATGGAGGTTTCTCCCTGTGAGGCCTAGTGATTTTTCTCACTGCATTTTAAGAAACCTGCCACACTAACCGCCCACCCTGCTCCACTGTTTCTTTTTATCCACACGCAGAGCTGTCTAGTGAACATTTTCAGCTGCCACTTCGTGGCTCACTTCAGCACAATGGAACTTTAAACTACAAGCTACCATACTAGTATGCTAGCTCTCCAGAACATTGGCACTTGGGCACACCAAGAGAAGGGTTGCAGTTAGTTATAATCCCTTTTCTTATACATTCCTGGAAGAGTAAAACACAAACATATCTTTCATCCAAAACTACCTTTCTTTCAACTCATCAAGTTGGGAGTCTGGGAACCGCCCGTGAGAGATCACAGGTACATTATTTAAATAGCATCTCTCCTTTTGAAGTGTTGCTGACTAAATCCCTCGATGTTCTTCGGGTGTAATATTCCATGGTTCCTCCTGGGATTCAATGTAATCCACGCAGGGATTTTGAGACAGATGCTGAATTTGGTAGTTCAAAATACCCCTAAGAGATTTGTGTTATGATCTGTTTTCATGATAACATGAAATGGAGAGATAATTTCAAATGTCATGAAAATGTCATTTACTTGAGAAGGGATATACTAGCACTGGAGGGGGTGCAGAGGAGATTCACTCAGTTGATTCCAGAGTTGAGAGGGTTGGATTATGAGGAGAGACTGAGTAGACTGGGATTATACTCATTGGAATTCAGAAGAATGAGGGGAGATCTTATAGAAACATATAAGATTATGAAGGTAATAGATAAGGTGGAGGCAGGGAGGTTGTTTCCACTAGCAGGTGAAACTAGGACTAGAGGGCATTGCCTCAAAATAAAGGGAAGCAGATGTAGGACTGAGGTCAGGAGGAACTTCTTCACCCAAAGGGTTGTGAATCTGTGGAATTCCCTGCCCAGTGAAGCGGTTGAAGCTACCTCACTGAATGTGTTTAAGGCAAGGCTAGATAGATTTTTGAACAGTAAAGGAATTAAGGGTTATGGTGAGTGGGCGGGTAAGTGGAGCTGAGTCTCAGAAGGATCAGCCATGATCTTATTAAATGGCTGGGTAGGCTCGAGGGGCCAGATGGCCTACTCCTGCTCCTAGTTCTTATGTTCTTATGTTCTAAATATTATCCTTTCCGTGGAGACTATAAATGCTAATTCTGAAAATTGAAACAATCTCCAAATGTAGTCATTGACTACTTCAGGTCAGGTAGTAGCTACTATAGTTGCTATTCAGTTGCTGCAGATACTCTGATCTAATGATCTCCCTCAGTTCCTGCCACAAAAACGTTAAGATGAATTACTTATTTCCTACATCAGTCAATGTCCTAGAAACATAAAACAGTTCTGTAGGAGGCTGCTTGACCCATGTGCTGGCTTTTTTGAAGATTACAGTCGGTTCTGCTATAACGTGACAGTTGCGTTCCTGTGCAACATTGCGTTACAGAAAATCACGCTATAGAAATAACAGCGCCTATGGGAAAAACAGGATTAGGGACAGACCACCAATAAACTCACTCAGAATCATTCAAAATTCATTGAAAAGCTTAACAGAAAGGATATCACAGTTTGAATAAACGTTTAATTCATATCTAATAACGAAATAAAAGTAAATTTAACTCCTTACCTTGAAAAAATGTCAAGATGACTTGATGTGGGAGGAGATTTTGAGATTGCTCTGTTGTTAATGCAGGGGCTCAAGGTCGTCGTCATTATCATCATCACCATCTTCAGGTGCAGTTGTGGTTGCAGGGTTAGGGCAAAAAATAGTTAATCCAGAAGTGGATGGCTGTGGCTCAGTGTCTTCTGACTGTTTCTTGGGGGTTGGCTTAAAAAAGACATCCAGTTTTTGCTGCTTTTCCCTTTTTCTTCTTTCACGAAGAAGCTGCTCATAGGATGCCAAATAAGATCTTATTCCACGAACTGCCACCCTGCTGCGTTCTGCAATTTAAGCATTGTCCTGTAAGAGCTGCAACTGCTTCTCAATTTCCCTCAGGATAGAAGACAAAACATGGTGCTGCATCCTGGACTTCATCTTCTTCATCTCCAGCTTCCATTTCCCCCTCAGCGACAAGTTGTTGTAGATCAGCTGTGGAGAGGACTTCACAGTGGGACTCAAGCAGCTCTTCAATATCCTCACTCACCACTTCTTCAAATTAAGCTTGCTTTGCAAGATCAACACAATGTTCTTTGATTCTTGGGAGATCCTCTGACGGATCAAAGGTTTAAAATCTTGAAAAAAATCTAGGAGAAGCTTCCGCCAACCTGCATGCAAGCAGTCCTTACTGACATCACCGCAGGCCTCCATGATAATATCAATTGCATTCTTGATGTTAAAGCTCTCCTAAAATTGAAGAACACTGTCCTTATCCCCCTCAGTGGCTGCACTCAGCCTCTTAAATGTGCACCTTAAATAATAAGCTTTAAAAGCTGCTATTGCACCCTGGTCCATGGGTTGAAGGAGAGAGGTTGTGTTTTGGAGTAGAAATAGCACTTTGATGTTTTCAAAAAGCTCACCAATGGTGAGAGGATGGCTTGGCGTGTTATCCAGGATGAGAATGCATTTGTTTTCCTGCAGTACATTTTCCAAAACATCAACAGTAAGGTCAGAAAAAATTTGCCCCATCATCCAATTTCTTTTTCTTGACCTAAAAAGACACCTAAAGTAGACTTATGGTGACCTTTCAAGGCTCGCAGGTTGGCAGAGTGGTACACCATCACAGGATTAAGGTTTAAGTTTGCACTGGCATTGGCACCAAGCAGGACAGACATATGATCCTTTGTCACGTTAAAGCCTGGAGTGTGTTTCATTCACAGAAATGTAGGTTCTTGATGGCGTTTGCTTCCTATATAAACCTGTCTCAACCAAACTAAAAATTTGATCTAAGTTGTAGCCTTTTTAATTTTTTTACAATGAGAAGAAATGCCATCGCATACTCCCGGACTGCACTGACAGCTTCGCCACATAACTTTACATTATGAAAAGCATTGTGGTTCTTAAAACTAGCAAGCCAGCCGTTGCTAGTACTAAGGCAGGCACATCCACAGGATTTTCAGCTTTTTTTTTTGTTAGATCTTCATGAATTGATAGGGCTTTCTCCTTTATGGTGAGAAAGCTGGTCTCAGATTGCTTTCTCATTTGATCTTCTATTCACACATTTAGAAGCTGTTCCATCTCCTCACGTTCCTTTTGTCCGTGCCCTCACAGATTGCTAGCACTCAGACTTGGTCCAGCAATACAGCTTGCTTTAGTCTTTTCTGCATTGTCTCTAATAGTGCATAAGGTAGACTCCTTTATTCCTGCTATGCCAACTACATCACATGTTCTCTCGTTGCACTCAAAATGCTTTATAACATCTATCTTCTGTTCTAGTGTTATAGCTTTTCTTTTATGTTCACCACCTGCAATTTTATCACCAGAACACTTCTTGCTAACATTCTTGTCATTTGTCCTTTCATTTTTGTGGGTAACATGGTAGAATTTGCAAAAGAAATGAAAATCATGGAGTACTGTATCTCTCACAGAAAGTGCTTCACAACAAACCCCACAAAATGATTACATGATGTCAGCGCAGAGACTCTTTCGGTGCTAACATTGCACATGCTCAGGACAAAGCCTGTGAAATGATCATGTGACGTTGACGCATACCGATGGAATTGTGTTATAGCCAACACAAGTTCATGTTTTAGAAATAGCATTTCCCTATTAGTTAGTTGTGTTCTAGCCAATTCACGTTGCTGGAACACGCGTTATAGCAGAGCAGACTGTATTTTGACTCTGCTGCTGTTTCCTCATGGGCTGGTTTCTTCTAAATGAGATAAGGAAATTTGGAGAATAGTAAGAACTGCCGATGTTGGAGTCTGAAGTAACACAGTGTGGAGCTGGAGGAGCACAGCAGGCCAGGCAGCATCAGAGGAGCAGGAAAGCTGACGTTTCGGGTCAGGACCCTAATTCAGAAATGGGGGAGGGGGAAGAGAGCTGGGAAATAAATAGAGAGGGGGGGGTGTTGGGCTGGGGAAGGTAGGTGGGATGGTGATAGGTGAGTGCAGGTAGGCAGTGGTGGGGAATGCTCAGTGAGGTGGGAGGAACGGATAGAACTGGAGGAGCAGCATCTCATATTCTGCCTTGGGAGCTTACAGCCCAATGGTCTCAATGTGGATTTTATCAATTTCAAAATCTCCACACCCCCAGCCTCATTCCCATGACCAACCCTCCCTCTCATCCCCGCCTCCTTGACCTGACACAACCTGTCCATCTTCTCTCCCGACTATCCGCTCCTCCCACTTCACTGAAATGTCAACTTTCCTGCTCCTCTGATGCTGCCTGGTCTGCTGTGTTCCTCCAGCTCCACATTGTGTTATCTATAAGCAAATTTGGAATTATTTTGTACTGTGGGCCCTTGCTTTTTCTGCTGAGACTACCCAAGCTCTGAAAAGATAGTGGTTCATGGGACTGTGTTGATGAGAAATGAAACTTTGTCTGGCACATTGGGATATTAAATTATGAAGAGTTATCTTTGCAACCATTCTTGTCATTAACTTAGCAGGATGCATATTCTTACATTATGGTATCATATTTTTAAGCAATGCGTCTGTTGGCTTACTCTCTCTATCAATCTTCATGAGAGATGTAAATGTGAAGGCAGGTAGATGATTTCCAACCTGTCCTCTCCCATTTTGCTCTGAATTTGGCCATTAGGCTTTGTATTTGGATTGCTTATGACTCCTGCCTAATTTCTCTCTCTTTTGTAAAACTGCCCATCTTTACCTCTCCGCTGCACTACATTTGAGACTTATATTTACTGTGTTGAAGATCACTGTACAATTCCTATCTCTTACACCATAGTCTTGAATATCAGAATGGCTTTTTTCAGATGATTAATAACAGTAGCTGGTCCATAGTCAAACATATTGTGCATGGGGTGTGGAAAGATGAGTTTGATGGGTCAGATTGCTTAATTTATTTAGAATTTTCTTTGTTCCTGACTCACATGCTGACAGGAATAGTGCCATCTGTCAGAACATTGGAACTGGCTGCAAGTAGATAATTAATCTGATTCATGGTTGTGTGATTCCTTGGTTCTGTGTATCACTTGCTGCTTATGATGAAGGGTCTAGGCCCGAAACGTCAGCCTTTTTGCTCCTATGATGCTGCTTGGCCTGCTGTGTTCATCCAGCTCTGCACCTTGTTGTCTTGGTACCTAAGTAATCCTGTGATGATACTTAATTTTAGATATGCATGATGCTGCTCCTGACATGCCCTCTTGCACTATTCGTCGAACCAGGGTTGATGGTATTGGTAGTCTTTGGAAATCTGCCTGGTCATGGGGTTGCAAATTTTGCTTGAATATAACTTGGCTGTTGCTGATGACCCACAGTGCCTCATGAATGCCCAGTCTTGAGTTGCTATATCTGTTCAAAATTTATGTCATTTAAGATGGGTATAGTGCCACACAACTGGCATTTCACACATTTGGCCAACTGCATTCTCAAGAACCAAGTCTAGCATTGCCTGTTTTTTGATTGGAGCAGACACATACTGCTGTAAGAAACTCTGCGAAATACAATGTAAGAGCGCTTACCACTTTCAGCCCTTTGCACACCAGTATCATGGTCTATATTTGGGTTCAACTATTCACTATTCATAGACAATTCAAAGACTGATTGTATATTTTCTTTTAACTTTTATCTTTTTGGACTTGCCTGTTATTTCTGATCTGTGTCGTGTGTGCTATGTAACTATTTCTTCATAAACTCAATCTTACTGTTAGTTCAAGAAAGTCTGGTTAAATTTGTCTCTTTTCAAAACACAAATTCATGTGGATCTTGGAAAAATGTACCCACAAGTGAAGGTTTCCTTTTCAAATTAACCTTGACGTGACAGACTGAGGGGGTGGATGAAAAACCAAGGGGAGCCTAATCATTTCTCCCCACTTGGAAGTTTGACGTTTGACCTAACCTGTTTAAAAACATAAAAAGTTGGGGAACCTCATCCAGGGGCTGGTCATAATGCATATCAATGTCTCAGAAAAAAACATTGATCTAGTTGTCCAATCATCAGCACCTTGGAGAGAGATTGTCGCTCACATTTTATCCAAGATCTTGGCCAGAAATGTAAATACTCAGTTAACCTTCTGCGGAGGAGATTGAAATACCCTGGAAACAATCCCAATGATAAACATATTTTGTGGACAATTTAGGAAAATGACATAGGTTGCTAATTTGAAACCATTAGGACTCTTTGCAAAGGAACACACAAAGTTGTTAGAACTAATCAATGCATATAGGTAAGTACAAAAGGGAACAAGGATCTGAATCAGAAACGTAGAGGACAAAGGAACTGTCAAAATAGATGAATGTTGAATTGTTAGGATCGTGTTCAAACATGGGATATTAGAACTATAAGTCCCTAGATACAATGAAGTTTGGTGATATGTACATGTTCAAGCAAACAGTGGTTGGTTCACTATTCCATTGCTGTAAACCAGTGAGCTACAGATGCTACAAGACCATACCATCAATGTTTGTCCTATTTGCCAATCCAATTGATGACTGTCAACCATCAGAGTTTCATTCAAGTCTTGATGTAAACCAGAAGTTAAAAGTAACCAAATATAATTGTCAGCCTGATGCCTAAGATCACAGGAATAGAACCAGCAAACATGATCACAATTCAGGAAAGTGTAATCCGAATGCAAACCCTTAAAAACAGCTTCAAACTCATTAACTTATAGAACAAATTATTGCCTAGTAATGTGGAAAGTCTTAATATAGTAGGGAATGACAAACAATAGAACTGATGTTAAAGGAGGAGGGAGATGACAGCAGCATGTATTGGACATGGTGCACATTTACAATGGAGCTGGATTGAATCAGATATTGCCTGCAAGTTCATTTCATGCAAAAGAGAGTGAAAGTACCTCCAACCGTTCATCTCAAAATGCGATGTCTACAGTGTTAGCACATTCTACTCAGAAGGATCCCAAGATTGATATTTAGTCGGTGCTGATCTATCTGATCAACTGGGCTTCCAATGGAGGGTAACAGATCATAATTCCAGTGGGGAATATTGATAGGAATGTGGCTGAAATGACAGAATGTTGTATAAATCTCTGAGTTACACTGGGAGATCAAAAGATCTCCCATTAGAAATCTCATAGAATTGCAATGATCATGCTGAAAAGGAGTATATGGGAAGAATGGATGAATATAGGCTGTAGCTTAACAGTGAAACCTTATCTTCCAAATGGAGTACCCTGTCAATGCCCACTGTTTAGACTCACTTATAAAGAATATCCACTTGGGCAAATAAACATTTGTGCAACTGGCTCCTAATAAGAGACAATGTCTTTTGGGCTTGTTAAAAAAGAAGAACATTTTGGTGAATTGAATGAATTAACTGATGGTATTTTCTGTACTTCAGGTCCGCTTAATCATGTATCAAACTTCAGAGTAACCACGTACACTAATACCTCCGTGTCTGTGGTCTGGGGTGCTACTGTCGGAGCAACAGAGTACAAGATAACATGGAGTCCGACATCAGGTAAATGAAAAGAAACCATCCCTCTAAATTATGCAACTGAGGAACATCTGTTATTTGTGTTTCCCTGGTCTTTCTTTGTGACTGTAAACAATTATAATTGCTGCTGAAGTTTAAGACTCTTTTTATGATACCTTATCATTTAGGATGATGGCATTTTTGTGTAGAGTGTCCGGGTTACTTTGAAGAAAACTTTTACTACTACCTTATACCTGTTGTTCTGTGCCAATTTAAAGACTTTGGCATTTCGGTTTTAACTTTAATGAAGGATTGATAATTGACGTTATTGATGAATTATTCTAATTCTGTTTTGTATGAATCCCATTTGACAACTCAGATACAGAAGATATTGTTACTACATGATTTCATTTACTATTATTGAATTAGTGAGAATGAAAAAGAAGCCTTGCAAACCACAGAGTAACCTCCAAAAATGATAAATTATTCTTGAGAAATTCTCAAGAAGAGCACTTGAAAGTAATTATATTGACATAGGGCCAGATTCAAAGAAGTGGAGTAGTTTTTGCAACTTCCTCCCTAACAGCATTGTAGGTCTACATGCAGCACATGGACTGCAATGGTTCAAGAAAGCTCACCACCACTTTCTCAAGGGCTACTACACAATAAATGCCAGATAAACACAGGGGCAAATAGAAGGATATGTTGATGGAATTTGATGGAGGAGGCTGACTTTGGATACCAACAGTATCATATTTAGTTGAATGCTCTCTTTCTGTGCTGTAAATGCTATTTAATTCCATGTATTCAAAGCATTATGACTGTTTGCAGTATGCATTGTGAGCCTGTATAAATTGTTTCTACGTCCTTATGTTTCAATGTTTTATTCCTTGCTAGGGAGAAGTGGTACTCAGAGTCAATATGTGGATCGCAGCACACTGTCTTACCATATTGGACATCTAAACCCTGGAACTCACTATACTATTAGCATCAATGCTGTGTACAGAAATTCTGAGGGACCTGCAGTGTCCCTTTCTCAAAAGACAGGTAAATAGTGAGGCAGAAAGGGGACACTGGCAATGCCTTTGCATCTATTCTTTATGAAAAGGAAGTTGGGTGTTTCAAGGGGGGAGTCACCAGAATGATATTGGGATCTGAAGGACCAAAATACAAGGACAGAATACGTAGGACCAGATTATCCAGATAGACGGAGCCTGGATGTAACATGACCAAAAAGTTATCGATCACTTCGGAAGTCTGGAACTTGGACTATGATGCAATTGCTTGGGAAGTTTAAACTACTTCTGGTCAATTATCCCGATTCTAGAACTCCAACAAAATCTCCAACTCTGACTTAGAGTCAGAGACCTCTGAGGATTCTGACTTACTGGCCTGAATAGTTACCCAGAAAATGTTGAGGGGATTAAAACTGGCTCTAACTTCTGGGAGTCTTTTAAACTGACGCCACCCCTCCCCCATCCGTCACACTGACCCCGCATTGCTCCAAAGCTGCCTGCATAGTTTGCTGGGCTGTGTCTATTGGGATGGATCCTACATTAGAAATCAGGCTCAATAAAGTCACAGTAAGAAAATAACTAATTTCTGTTATCTGGGTGAGAAACAGGGCCATTAAAATCATGATGATAAAAGACTGAGGGGTAGTCTGATTTGAGTGGTTAAAGTGATAAATGAATTCAGTATTTCGTTATATAGAAATGGAGGAACTATTTATTCTGCAGAGGCAATCAGAATGATGGAGATAACATTCAAAAATTAGGGTTTGGCTACTTAGGAATAAACTCAAAACAAACACTGCAAGGGCAGGTAAATGGGTTAGTAGTACAGATTATTTGTGAATCTAATTGAATGGCAGAACAACCTTGAGGGGCTGAAAGGCCTCCTCCTGTTCTGATGTATGTGACCACTTTTATTGAATGCCTGGGTAAAAAGCCATGAACCTTTAGACTTAACAGAAGTTAAACTTAACAAGAAACAAGATTTAATAAACTAAATAATAATAACTAACTGATACCATTTGAGTTTTAAAAGTTTTAAAAACTTTAGAAGTTTTTAAAAAATTGTAGAAGAAAGACTTTTGAGGGAGAGATTCCACTCTGTGGTTGTGACCTCGTGAGAAGGGATGAATTTGCATTGGAGATGGTCTTGAGTTCAACACATTGGTCGAGAGAGAATAAAGCAAAGTCCCTGTGTAAAATCTGCATTTCAAGACAGTGAGGAGGAAGAGTATTTAGGACAAGATATTTGGAAGGAATCAGAGAAGAAATGGTAGTAGCCATTCTGTGCTGAGCATTCACTGGCCCATTTTGAATGAAAGCCTCCAGTGCATAACACATGGATAAACCAGTCCATGGGATGCATTCATTGTTTACAACTACAATGAATTGTTCCATCATTTGCAGCTTCTCCAGATTCTGAACAAGTCCAATCAGTGAAGGAACTAAAGATCATCGAAACTGGATCCAACAGTTTAAAACTCGCGTGGAAAAAGATGTCTGGCATCACGGGATACAGAATATCTTGGGCTCTACTGCGAGGTAGTGGCTTTGTTTTGCTTATTTAGATCCATTAAGGTGGAGTCTAACTGCTTGCTGTGTTTGCATTGTACAGACTTCATATACATGTTTACTAAGCAATCAAACATATTCACCAGACAGATGGCCTGCAGGTTAAAATGTAGTGCTCTAATTCCCAGCCAATTAATGTGGTATTGGATAACATGGAGTGAGAGATATCAATACCAAACCTATCAAGAGTATTTTTGACCCTGCAGCCCATCTCCTATTCCATTTTCTATCCAGACAAGTTGATCCTTCAGCTTTAACCTACGTATCATCCAATTTTATAGAATGGTATAGCACAAAAGGAAGCTGTCAGCCCAACAGGCCTATGCCAGGTCTTCTTAAGAGCTATCAAATTAGTTCTAGTCACCCTCCCGTTTGCCTGCGACCCTGTAAATATTTCCACTTTTAGTGCACATGACAACTTTGCTGCTCATGCTCATTCATGTCCTCTTAAATTGTAACAGTTCAAGGTGGATTGGCGTGGACATTAGTGTGGTGGTGAAATTCTAGATAGCTTTCAACACTGCTTAATAGGCAAACAAACATGCAGAGTTCCCGATCTTGGGAAAATGGGAGCCCAAGTTAATCTGTGTCATTCTGTCAGGTGACCCCTGTAACAGTGGCAAAAGTGTAAGATATAAGATGCCTGCCCATCTTTATTGGATGAGGAATGCTTCATGTGTGAAGGATCTTAGAACAAGAATGAACAATGGGATTTTCCAAAGGATTATCATGTGATGCCCAGGCAGGTCTGAGACGCAATTCATGATCTATGTGGAGACCACATTGAATGCATCATTGACAGATAGACCATAAGACATAGGAACCAAAATAGGCCATTCAACCGAACGAGTCTGCAAGCTTTCAATCCTACTGATCCTTCTGGGAATGTGACTGGAATTACACACTCCAGATAATCTAATGGAAAACTAATGGGTTCTGTTGTGGCACAGTGGTAGTGTCCCTGCCCCTGGAACAGAGAGGCCTGGGTTCAAGTCCCACCTGATCGAGCGGTGTATAATTACAACTCTGAACAGGTTGATTAGAAAATAGTTTAATTAAAAAATGTCACAAACACTACACTGATGGAAGTAGCCTCATCCAGCTCACCAGGGCTTTAAAAGATTAACTAATTTCTGAATTATCTACAAATATGGTGTGCTCATAAAAACTGAAAGAACTGTGGATGCTGTAAGTCAGAAACAAAAACAGAAGCTGCCAGAAAAGCTCAAGTCTGGCAGCTTCTGTGAAGAGAAATCAGGGTTAATGTTTCCGGTCCAGTGACCCTTCCTCAGAACTGATGGTAGCTAGGAAAATGTCAGTTTATATGTAGAAGATAGGGTAGGGGGAGGGGGTAAGGAGTAAATGATAGGTAGCGATAGAGCCCAAAGAGAGAGAAGACAGTTGGGCAGACAAAAGAACGGATGACAATCTAGCTGGGAAAGTGAATAGCTGCTAATGGAGATTGTTAGTGCCTAACAATAGGTAGTGTGTAACGGCAGGCTATGCGGTAACAAGGCTTGGTGTGTGGGGTGGGGGGGCTAGGGCATGGGAGAGTTCAGGCGCTAAAATTATTGAACTAGATACTTAACCTTGATACTAACATTTAATTGATGATGGGAATGGCAAGTTGTCAACCCAGTAGGTTTCTTTGTATGGGCTGGGAGTGGAAGGAGGGGTTTCCTTCTTCATTGGACCCTGGGCCCACTGGATGGCCACCCACCTCAGTGGATGTCCCACCCAAGGTTTGATGCTCCCAAGGTTGTCCCCTCCCAACAGCCGCTTAAACCCTGGTCCACATCCTTCTCACAGACACCCCTCCTCATAGCTACACGTACAAAGATCTGTCCCATTGCAGCTTGCTTTCGTATTACTAGAGTGTAGTACCAACAGTGGCCACCACCCCTGGCTGGTGCTATAGGTACATCGAGAGCTGATTGACTGGCAGCTCTCTGTGGCAGGACTTCTTGTTCCTGACAGTCAGTATTTTCATCCCCAGTCTATTAATGACCAAATGTCTGTGGAGTAGCCATTCATCCCTTGGAATGTCTTCCCCAGGAACATTTTAACAGGGTGGGGAGACCAGGAGATGTGGAGACAAGAGTATCCCTTATAATTCAGCCCATGACCTTGAAATCTCCCTGTGAGTGGAAACTGTGGTTTTTGCCTCAGACTGTCAATCCTTCAGAATTTTCCTGAAGTCTCCCGGAATTAATGATTCATCTCCAGGATCCTGTGGTGAGAAAATCTAGCAGAAAAATAATAGATGCTTTCAATGTAAAGGTGTTTTCTTTTCATTTTACTTGACCAATTTGCTAATTTTAAGAATATTGAAGAACAACAGCTGTGATAAAACCTTCAGCACTTTGCATCCAGCAATAATGGCAATTCAACTTCTGCTACACTTGAGGTTTAATTGCACCAGTGGAGCTGAAGCAGGTCCCAGTAAATCCCCAGCCCATAGTGTTGGGCTTGAACCAAGAACAAGTAAGAATGAGACACTGATAACACAGTGTTGAGCCGGAGGAGCAGGCCAGACAGCATCAGAGGAGCAGGAAACTTGACGTTTCGCGTCAGGACCCTCCTTCAGAAATAGGGTGCTGACCCGAAACGTCAACAGCAGCCTGGCCTGCTGTGCTCCTCCAGCTCCACACTGTGTTATCGCTGACTCCAGCATCGGCAGTTCTTACGATATAAGAATGAGACACTGTCCTTGTTCACTTATCTCTTCAGGAGGTCCTGAGAGGACAAGAGTTGTCCCAGCTGATGCAACACTCCACGTGTTAGGTGGATTGCAAGAGAGTTCTACATACACCGTGCGAGTCTCGACTATGGTTGGAAGCAGACAAGGAATGCCTGTTGTCATCTCAGCCCAGACACGTGAGTGCCCTTGTTATTGTAGTTTAAGAAGCCAAACCCATTCCAAGCTATGGTGAGGTCTGCCTCATAGGCCTCAAATGATATGATTGGATTCTGTAAATGCACAGACCTATCTACCTACACAATCTCACATTGATACCTCAAGGGAGGCATCATTGGCCAGTGGTGTAATCATATTCATCATGGCTAGTGGTCTCTACCAGTGTTGTGCACAAGGCTGACATTCAGCCAGTTTTGAGCTTCATCATATTGCTGTCTATCTTCACTAGAGTGCCCTTTCACACTGCACTGCAGACTTCTTAACCTCTTTTGGAGTGTATTGCTGGCTCACTGGGCCTGCCTCAGGTTTTGTTTCATGCTGCTTCTGATTGGCTCAGCTTCCAAACCTTAATATAGAATAATTTCGGCGAATGATTAATAATAATGAATAAATAATGTCAATATCAATGCAAGCTTTGAGAACCTCATACCGATCAGAACTTTCTGATGCTCCCCAGAGTTTTCTCTCCAACTGAGCTACACTTGCCTACATTAGCCTGAAGCCCTGTTAGTCAAACACAGCCTAAACAGACTGTTAAAAAGTCAAAATTCACACAATGTTCACAGTTGGCTAATTAGAACATTAGAATACATACTGTACTATTTATGCACGAACAAGCATGAGGTAATCCGTTCGCTAGAAAGACACCTTCAGAGCCGGGAATCAACCATACAAAAAGTGACAATTTTTTTAAAAAGAAATATTGTGACACACCATAAATTTGCGTACAACTGAAACTGTGTTGTCGATATCCAAATACTTACCAAGTCCCATTCGTCCATCAATCATTGAACTACACTGGCTTCTAGTCAAGCAACAGCGCAGTTTTAAAATCCACATTTTTATTATCAAATCCCTCCATCTAGACCTCAGCCCTCCTATTGTGCAACCTGTATCACCACCACAAACCTCTGAAATATCTATACTCCTCTAACTCTGAGCATTTGCGCATCCACTATTGGCAGCCATGTCTTCAGCTGTCAACCCATGGAATTCTCTTCTTAAACCTCTCGATTAATCTATCCTTTTTTATTCATGTAAGATGCTCATGAAATCCTACCTCTTTTACCAAGCTTTACATTATCTCCCTTATGTGATTTTGTGATCCATTTTGGTTGATAGCAATATTGGGACCTTGCATTCTGTTACTGGCACCACATTGATGTAAATTTCCTTTCTTTTTATATGATGTCTTTAATGTGGATAAACATTCTGTCACTGAGGAATAATGAGAACTAAGTGGACATCAAGATAGAAACAGAATACTAGAAGTCTTCACACACTTGCTCTCACCAATTCCATGTGTAATAAATTTGATATACTTCGTAAGGACCTTGTTTTCCTTTTATGATGCCACTCATAACAGCGTAAGATAGCACTGAATAAAATCCTCTGAAAATTGTCCCCAAAACCCCTAACTACCCTGGATTATAAGAATCAGGAAGGGCATCACTGAAATAAATGTACAAGGCAATATGTATAAAGTTTTCAGAGTTTAGACAGATTTAGAAAGCAACCTGCAATATCATAGAATTGACACCAGAGGGCATAGAGGAGAACTGTGATGTTCAAAGCTCTTCAGCACCTTGAGCCGGAAGTGCACTAAATGTTAACGTTAATCTGCCCTATTTAAATAGTTGCAAATACATTTCAACTCTATATTTACAGATCTGTAATTAAGATTGATTTCTTGTAATCTTATGGTTCAGCTCCTACATTTCTATTGCTTTCTATTTTTTAAGCTGTTTCTAATGCAAGGCTTCCCAGCAGCTCACAGTTGCTTCACAACATCGTCCCAAATCTTGGCTAATTCCCTACTGGAATCAGGGCTGGAAAAATAGAACGCAACATCCCTCAGCTTTCCCCGAGATGGTGAGAGTGAGGAATTGTATTCAACTGCTGTCTTGTATTGGACACATGATGCTAAGGGAATGATAGTGGGAAAATCAGTCAAAAAGTAGCAAGATTTAGAAGTTAACACACTGGCTGATTAGTACTCCATTTTGAAGTTTACAAGACATGTCAGGCCGGTATATTTCATTCATGCATTTTAGTTTACTCTTGATTAATCTTATGTACTTCAAAATGGAGGTCCATGTAGCTGGTGTGTTCCATTTCCAAGTTTTTTTTTACTGTTTCTATCCCCCCACCACTGGGGTGGCACTAAATCATTTCCATTCATTCCAACATTTTGTTCAAAACAATGATGTTATCCAATCCCTGGCCACCCATCCATCCTGTGGATTAAATTTGGGAACTGGTTCAGGAATATGTGGAAGGTCAGTAAATCAGATTTTTTAAATAAAATGGTTTAAATGTTAAAGATCTAAAGTCAATTTGTTGCCATCTTTCCTTAATCAAAATTTAGGAATATAAAGTTGTTAATAAAGAAAACGCTAGTCTGAAAAAAAGTTAGACAAATCAAAGATCTGCAGATGCTAGAAATCTGAAACAAAAACAGAAATTCAGCAGGTCTGGCCGCATCTGTGGAGCGAAAGCAGAGTTAACATTTCGAGTCTGGTTCTGAAGAAGGGTCACTGGACTCAAAACATTAATTCTGCTTTCTCCCCATAGATGCTGCCAGACCTGAGTTTCTCCAGCAATTTCAGTTTTTGTTCAAAAAAAACTTGTCTAAAAAAGATAATTGCTGGGCTTCAACAGCATTGTATGAAAGAACTGGATCTCTATGTTTCTGCAGGTTCCAAACAGAAATCATCAGTCACAGCCAAACCAGTGGTTATTTCACCAGTCACCCAGGTGACCAAAACTGCCCCCGCTTTCATGTCCTGGACAGATACTGCTCGACGAACCAGCAGTCAAAGCAGGACAACCTTAGCACCTCCAACCACCGCCACAACCATCGGGAAGGTCACTGCTACTACCAGCCCCACCACAACCTCTGCTGCTGCCAGGAGACTTTCAGCACCTCAGGCCATGCAGGATGGACCTGGTAAGTGAGCTACCTGGTAAAAACATTTTCTATTCACCCTTTGGGCTATTGACTGACCGCTCCTGGTGATTTCAATCTCCTGGAACCAGCTATTTTCATCAAATTCATCAACTCATGAGTAATTAGAAAATATCTTTAGAAACAAAGGACAATATCACCCAGTGGGCAAAAGTTTTGAATACTCATGTAGACAGGGCAGAGTAGACTGGGGGTGTATCCCCTGGAAGTTAGAAGACTTAGAGATGAATTGAACAGTTTTCAAAATCTTTAGGAGACCTGATAGGGTACTTAGGCAGAAATTATTTCCGCTCAGGGACAGACATAAAAATAAGACCAGGGCTTGATTCACAAGGTGGGTATACAGAGTAAAATCATTGATCAGCCATGACCTTATTGAATGGTAGACCAAGCTTAAGAGGCCATAAGGCCTTCTTCTGATCCTGTGTTCCTTGGACAATCAAGAGAGTTGACAAAGAATGAATAGTGTTCCTCTTATTTTGCTTTAATTAGTGGAAAGTTGGAGGAACTGAACCTTTCTATGTGTTTTTCATCACAACGAAATATACTAGATAGCTCATACTATCAAAGTAATGTTGACATAAGATGCACCCTTCACTCTGTTCGTGTTAACTTCAAATATTTATTAGTTCCAAATATTAGCTCATGGTACTCTGCACCAGCTTTGTGGATTCTGTCCCACCCCACTTCATTGCCTGACATTTTTTCTCCCTCTCCCTACCTTCCTCACCTTTTTCATTGAAGGCAAAGGCTTCTTTTTGGCATAGGGGTCCACTAGTTTCTGACATCCTCTGGTCATTCATATATGAATCTTTACATCAAGTGCCAGGAGGCTACTTGTTCACTAAAGTGAGATAGATTCTGCCCTCGCCTGATAACTACACTCGAGCAATTAACAGTGGGAGCTCTGAACCAAGAATGCTGAGGCCATAACGTAAAACCCTAAATGCTGATCTGATATGAAGTCAGTCAGAACAGTATCTTTTATCTCTACAATTTAGTTCTCATTAGGTTGCCTGGTGGACAGCTGAGACATTGCTGATCTGCCAACCATATGTTGTTAATCTGCCAACCATATGTAGTTAAAGATCACTTGCTTTTTTTTAAAACTGTGGACTGAAAATGGGAAATAATACTGCTTTAAATGAAGGAAGCTGTGAAAGGAGGTGTTGGCAGTTTTGAAAGCAAGTTATTGGAGCGCTTTGTGATGTGCAATGTAGCATTATTCAAACAGTGAGGGAGCATTCCAGACAAATCAGCACCAGTTGTTGTAGGATCAGAAGAGCTTGGCATTGTAACACCATTCTGATTTGGTTCCTGGGAAGTGGCTACTGCCTTGTATGTGGATGATACAGCAGAAACTTCCAGCCTTCAAAGAGAAAACATCAACCTTTCCTTTTCTGTGTGATGGAGTAAAAGAAAATCCCTGAAACTTAACCTGTCCCTCACCTCTCCTCTGTAAGCTAATCTCTATGCAACATCTTATTGAAAATGTGACTACTCTCTGGGGATAGTTACACTGTAACTCAAGCCTCAGTCCTCATCAAAGATTTGCAAATATGGACATTTGATTAAAGCACTGAAATGTCCCAATTGTACCCCACTGTCTATCTCAGGAAAAAAAAGAAAGATGCCAGATATTTTTCAATTGATCAGGAAATATTTATTGCAAATAAATTGTTCTTAACTACTGGCAAAAGGAAAAATGAATTGCTAACTTAACTCTATAACTTATGCTCTAAAATAGAAACAGAACAACTGTGGATGCTGGAAATCTGAAACACAAACAGAAAGTGCTGGAGAATCTCAGCAGATCTGGCAGCATCTATAGAGATAGAACTAGATTTAACATTCCAATAAAGGGTCACTGGACTTGAAATGTTAACTTTCTATAGAAACTGCCAGACATTGAGTTTCTCCAGCGCTTTCAATTTATGTAACTTAAATCGTGCCCTTTTTAAAATTCCTGTACGCATATAAGCAGATACACAAAGACACAAGACAATACATTATGAGTGGGGAAGGGAAAATCAAACATTGAAGCAGAGTTCTGGCACCAATCTGGATCAAAGTTGTTGGTAACTTGTTTTCTTTTGGTTACTTTCAATTATCCAACTCTTCACTGATGGCATAAGATTGTGGGTACACCATTTCTCAGACTTACATTTGTCCTTTCAGAGTCTCTGAAGGTGTTTTCTCCACTTTCCTTTCAGGAAGGCTTTTGCAGAGAGACCAAGTAACAGAGGAAAGGCGAGAAAGAATAACTAACCACTAGGGTTCTTTTTTCACTCGTCCACATACAGAAAAGAAAGCGAACGCGAGATGGGTGCTGTCTCTTCATAGGCTGGATGTTTTTGCAGTATTATACACACACAAGGCTACAGCACCCTACCAAGGAACCAATCAAGAGGTTACTATTATGCTAAACTCTCCCAAGACAACAACCAATTGAAAAGCTAAGCAAAAGACTGCCTCTAGGCAGACTTGCCCCTGAATGCACACAGGAAATGGTGATTTGTCTGGAACTCTCCACTACTGTTCTAATCAGGCAATGTATATATATCAATGTGCTGTAGTAACTTTTTTTTAATAGAACTGCTAACACCTTTGTATAGTTTCCTTGGTTCAAAGCAGCATATGTTTCCATTTTTAGTCCACGGTCCAACAAAAAGTGGACATTATAAAAGGAAAGGGGAAAAAAACATCTTCAGTGACACTGTTAGGGTGTATTCTCAACCAGTGAATGAAAAACTGAGAATCAGTGGACCCATCGTCAACAAAGAGTTGGAAGGAATTGAAAGAAATCAAAAGGAACTGAAAGAAAACAACTCATCAAAGCCCATGATCTGGACTGGGGCCAGAACTGAGCTTCTCTGAAGTTTTTCCCCTTCTGCACCCATAATATTTTTGTCTTGTCTCTTTGCACATCTGTTTGTATGTGTATGGGAATTTTAAAAAGGGGTAGAGTTTAAGTGTAGAGTTTTAAGATGGCAATTCATGTTTCCTTTTTGTCTTTGGTTAAAAACAACTTATTTGCAATAAGTAGTTATTTACTTGTTAATGGAAAAACCTGATCAAAATATTATTTTAATCTGAGTCAGATAGAATTGGGGTAATTTGGTGGTTTGAGCAAATTTTCAATTTTGTGATGACTCCAGGAATAGTGGGGCTTGATTCCCAGGGCATCGACTCCAGTAAGTCCTGAAAATGTGTTATCTATTTTAAAGCTCCTTAAAGGGAAAATGTTTTCACAGAAATATAGTCAATAAATCTTTTACTGTGTAATTATAATGATACAGAATTATAAACTGTCAGAATACTTTAACAGATGACTTGTTCAAGATAATGTATGAATGAAAATGACACAGGGTCTTTATTCCTCCTTCAAAGAGAACAAAGCTTTATGAAACTTCTCAAGGGAGAAACTGGGACAAATTTTCAAGGACTTGCTACTCGTTCTCCATGCTCCCATATGGTGTTTTTGATTGAGTAAATACTAAGAAATTGTTTTCAGTGGTGGCAGGGCTTGTAATTGAGGGGTATAGACTTAAGGTATTTGGCAAGAAATGATCATGGACGGATGAGGAAAAGACTACTACGCAGTGAGCTTTCCTTTTATAATCTTATATGGTCTACTGGGAAGGTTAATGGAAGCAGGTTCAACAGGAACTTTCAGAAGAGAATTAGATATAACGTTGTTAAGGAAAATGTGTAGAGATGTTCAGAAAGAGTAGGAAAGTTGGACTAATTGGTCTAAGAGCTGCTACAGGGGTGATAGTTTCAAATGGCTTATAATGTTGTCTAATTCTGTGAAATATAGAATTTAATTCCTCAAAAGTTGGTAAATATTGTGTTAAATGAAATTTTCCTCTGTTAATTTGCCAAGTAGTTGCTCCAATTTGGAGACTCGAGATGTAAAAGATTTGTAGACAAGTAGGATTCTATGCTGATATTCTTGCTCAATTCTGACTACTCTTTGTTTTCTCCTTTATCAGTTTGCAGCAGAGCCAAGGCTGATATAGTGTTTTTGGTGGATGAATCCTGGAGCATTGGCCAGAATAACTTCAATAAAATCCGGGATTTTGTCTTCAGGATTGTTTCATACTTTCCGAAGATTGGACCTGCTGGAACCCAGGTAAGTGGAACTATCCTACACTGGTGAGTTTCTGGGGCAGGAGACACTCAATTAAATATTTGATGCTTTCTTATTGTGTTATGTCATGTAAAATGGAAGAAAAAAATGCTCTTTGGCCCATGTATTCTCACCTTGGTATCTTGGTGGACCCTTTCCCATAGACCTTCCCCCTTTTTGGGAAAGGCAAAGAAGCAGACAGTCATGTATATTCAGGAAATCTCAGTTAAGTTTCCTCTCCAATCTTAACAAAATTGCCTGGTGAATCATGGAAGATACTAACTTGATGATCACTCCCTAAAATCTTAACCTTCTTCCTGCCAGGCTTATGTAGTTTTACATCAATGTGCCTAATATCTTTTTGAAGTTTACAAGAATTCCCTTTTTATTGTTATTTGTGGAAAGCTGCAGATCAAACACCATCTGAGAGAAATAGTATTTGCTCACATCTAACTTTACCCTCAGCTCCCGCAGTTTAAATGGGTGGCCTCTAACTTTACTTTGTCCCTTTGCCTTAACCAACCTATTCCTGTTTACATTATTGATAACCTTAATAATAGTAAAGAATTGTATCAGATTCCTTAAAAGTCTATCTTTCATCTCTCTCTAGCCACCACCATCACTATCCCTGGATTTGTCCTGTCCCATTGGCAGGACAGACCCAGCACAGGTGGCAGCACAGTGGTATACAGTTAGGAGGGAGTTGACTTGGGAGTCCTCAACATTGACTCTAGACCCCATAAAGTCTCATGCTTCAGGTGATATATGGTCAAGGAAACATCCTGCTGATTACCATGTACTGTCTTCCCTTGGCTGATGAATCAGTAGTCCTCTATTTTGAGCAACACTTGGAGGAAGCACTGAGGGTGGCAAGGATGCTAAATGTACTCTAGATGGGAAATTTCACTGTCCACCATTGAACAACTTGGCAACAGTACTACTGATCGAGTTGGTCAGGTCCTAAAGGACATTGCTGCTAGACTGACCTTGCAGCAAATGGTGAGGGAACCAACAAGAGGGAAAAACATACTTGATCTCATTGTTACCAATCTGCTGGCTGTAAATTCATCTGTCCATGACAATATCAGTAAGAGTGACTGGTCAGTCACTGCACAGTCCTTGTGGAGATGAAGTCACACCTTCAGTTTGAGAACACAACCAATGGATCAGATCTAAGCTCTGCCATTCCTGCCACATCCAGTCATGAAAGGTGGTGGACAATTAAATAACTCATTGAAGAAGCAGGTGCCACAGATATCTCCATCTTCAATGGTAGAAGATCCCAACATGTCAGTGCAAAAGATAAGAGAGATGCATTCTCAGCAATCTTCAGCCAGAAGTGCCAAGTGGATGATCCATTGTGGTCTCTGTCAGTGGTTGCATGATCAGCCAACTCGATTCACTCCAATGTGATATCAAGAAACAGTTGGAGGTACTTGATACTGCAAAGGTGATGGGCCCTGACAGCATTTTGGCGACAGTACTGAAGATTTGTGCTCCAGAAATTGACACTCCCCTACCCAAGCTGTTTCAGTACAGTTACAACATTGGCATCTACCCAACAATGTGGAAAATTGCCCCAGGTATGTCCTGCACCCAAAAAGCACAAATCCAACTCAGTCGATCATCAGCAAAGTCATGGAAGGTGTCATCAACAATGCTATCATGCAGCACATGCTTTGCAATAAGGACCTCTCAGTTCCTGACCTCATTACAGCCTTGGTAAAAACGTGGACAAAAACACTGAATTCTGGAGGTGAAGTGAGCATGACAACCCTTGACATCAAGTACACATTTAACCAAGTTTGGCATCAAAACTAGAATCATTGCGAATTGGGGGGCAAATTCTCCACTGGTTGGATTCATACCTGCTACATAGGAAGATGGTTGTGGTTGTTGGAAGTGCATCATCTCAGCTCCACGACAACTATGCAGGAGTTCGTCAGGGTAGTGTCCTAGGCCTAACATCTCTAACTGCTTCATCAATGACCTTGCCTCTATCATGAGGTTAGAAGTGGAGATGTTCACCAATGATTGCTCAATGTTCAGCACCATTCGTGACCCTCAGACACTGAAGCAGTCCATGCTCAAATGTAACGAGATATGGACAATATTCAGGCTGACAGGTGACAAGTAACATTCACACCAGACAAATGCCAGACAATGACCATCTCCAATAAGATACAATCTAGCCACTGCTTTTGACATTCAGTGGTGTTAACATCAGCATCCTGGGGGTTGCCATTAACCAGAAATTCAGCTGGACTCGCCACATAAATACAGTGGTTACAAGATCAGATCAGAGGCTAGGAATACTGTAGTGAATAACTCACCTCCTGACTCTCCAAAGCCTGTTCGCCATCTTCAAGACACAAGTCAATTGTGATTAAATACTCCCCACTTGCCTGGATGAGTTCAGCTCCAGCAACACTCAAGAAGCTTGACATCATCCAAGACAAAGCAGCATCCACAAGCATCCAAGCCCTCCCTCACCGACGCTCAGTAGCAGCACTATCTGCAAGAAGCATTGCAGAAATTCACCAAAAATCCTTACACAGCACCTTACAAACCCACAACTACTTCCACTTAGAAGGACAAGGGCAGAAAATACATGGGAATACCACCTACAAGTTCCCCTTCAAGCCACTCACCATTATGACTTGGAAAAATATTGCAATCTCATCGCTGTCACTGAGTCAAAATCCTAGAATTCTGTCCCTCAGGACATTGTAGGTCTACTTACAGCACATGAACTGCAGCAGCTGAAGAAGGCAGCTCACCATCACCTTCTCAAGGGCAACTAGGGATGGGCAATAAATGCTGGCCACCTAGTGGTGCCCATGTCCCATGAATGAATACAAGAAAGTCACAGGATGCCATCTATCACGCAGCACATAGCATGAATGTCATCTGCTTTATCCTTTTCTGTCTGATCCTTGGTCTTAAAATATTCTCCTGAGGTTGGGCAGAATTCTAAAAGAGGTTTTAACATGGTCCTAATATTTGATTATTTCAGTGAGCTTGTAGCTAAGGAGTAAGTTAACACTTCAGTGATCCTTATGTCTGGCCAATACTTGATAGTGATATCATGTTATCAGAGCTGAAGAGTGTTAGAAAATTTGGCTGTTAAAAGGGCAAACTGACCCACTAAGGTTTCCCACATAGAGCATGATTAAAGAAAAGAGGTATCGACATTTTCTCCCCTAGCACTGAGACCAGTTGTGACAGCCTGACTGTTATTCGAGCTGAGTTTGTAGGCCAGTTATTGAGCCTGCTCTCTTCTTGGCTGAATGGCTAAATTACACATTTTTCAGTGGCGCCTTTTGACCTGCTCATATAGGAAAAAAAAGTTCCTTGCAGATGGAGAATTTGGGAATTTAATCCAACTAATTGTTGGATCTCCTACACCGCAAGGGCTTCAGTGGTTCAAGGAAGCAGTTTAGCACCACCCTCTCCAGGGCAATTAGGGATGGGCAATAAATACTGTCCGAGACAGCGACACCCACATCCCATGAACAAACAAAACAAATTTTTCCTAATCAGATTATAATTTTGCTGTTATTCCATTTTTCTCGTCGATGAAACTTTCACCATCCAGCCAGTGATAATTCAGTGTATTTTTCACTTTGAAGTTGTTAGTTGGTATGTAGTTGATATCAATTCTTGATGTGGTTCCTTTGTCTTTTGTAACAGGTTGCTGTAGCTCATTACAGTGATAATCCCAGGACAGAGTTCAAGCTTAGTCAACACAAGGACAGGAATTCAGTTTTGAGAGCCATCAGAGCAGTTCAGTATCGAGGAGGCAACACCAGAACAGGTGAAACATTCAATATATTTATCAGTATGAAGTAGGCAGTGACAGAGGATGATATCTTTCTTGGCTAGAAAGGGATTGTGCATTTTTGTTTCTTGAGGAATAAGGTCTCATGCTTGTTTGGTACAATTGGTGATATAATCATCCAGTTACACAACATGATTGTTGCTGTATTGGAGCCATTGCATATTAATCTTGATCCTGTAAAGTATTTTTCCTTCATGTATTTTATTTTATGTTTATAATCTATGCACCTATCCATCTACTACTATTATGCATCCTCTACTATTATTCCTTCACCATCAAATTCCTGTATCCTTTACACCAATCATCTACATTACCTGCCCAGACCCATTATTTAATTTCATTAACAATTGTTACAGAATAGTATTATTCTACTTTGTCTTGAATTATTATACTAAAACAGAACACAAAATCTCTCTTACATTCATGTTCAATTTGAAATAACGCAATGGTCATTTACTTAAAATGGTCTTAACATAGAACCTATTTAAAGCACCAGCATCTTTCCCCTTCTATACATATGGCCATGCTTCCTTGCACTATTAACCAGCTCCAGTTGCCACTGGAATTGTCCATGTTGAGCAGTTTGGACCACATTTCTCTAGAACATGTAGTCTAGGAGATTCAAATATAATTTCCCGTTTCTCTGTGCAAGGAGGAATTCCTTCTTTAAAATTTCTGGGTGCCACTGCAGAGCTGTCTGACCTTGAGATGTGTCTTATCCACTGCTTTTACATGGGGGAGCATATCATACTATGTATTTTTCCCTAGTTCAGTGACATGTTTTTCTCTCTTGTTTTCCCAGCCAGAGGCATTGGTTATGTATTAAAGGAGTTATTCCAGACAACTGCTGGAATGCGACAGAATGTCCCACACATTCTGGTGTTGCTGACTGATGGACAGTCACAGGATGATGTGGAATTGCCAGCAAGAGTGGCGTTTGGTCTAGGTATTGTCCTCTTTGAACATTATCTACCAACTAACTGTTAATAGCTTGCATCTTCTGGTAAAGCCCAGGAATGGCAATTAATAAATTTAATACCTGTAGTCAATGAGAACTTTTGAATTACTTTCTCATTCATTACATTGGGAAATGTGAAACCATTTCATGGAATCCCTACAGCGTGGGAGCAGGACATTTGGCCCATCAAGTCTACACCGACCCTCCAAAGAGAATCCCACCCAGACCCACCCCTCTACCCTATCCCTGTAACCCTGCATTTCCCATTGCTAACCCACCTAGCCTTCACATTCATGGACACTATAGCATGGCCAATCTACTTAACCTGCACATCTTTGCACTGTGGGAAGAAACCAGAGCACCCGGAGGAACCCGATGCAGAGACAGGAAGAATGTGCAAACTCCACCCAGACAGTTGCCTGAGGGTGGAATTGAATCTTTGGGTCCCTGGTGCTCTGAAGTAGCAGTGCTAACCACTGAGCCGCTGTGCCACCCAGCAGTCTGGCAAACTCAGTACAGAAATGGGATCAGTTATCCTCTTCTAAATCAGGACAGGATATGATATGGAGTAGGACTTGAAGTTGATGCTATTCCTATGTATTCATTGTTCTTGTTCCCTTGTGGGATAAACATTGGGCTTGTGAGATGGTCTTG